AATTTGATTGGCTAAGAGCTTATAGTTAAATCGCACAATCACGCGACCTACACACAATTCAGTTATCTGCTAGCAGATAACTGAATTTTGAGTAGGTTGCGTGAGGTTGAATGAGTGTACATTTCAAATGAGTGTACATTTCAATTTTCAAATGAATGTACATTTCATAATTGTAATGTTTACTTTAACAAGTAAGTATTTTAATACGTTAACATCTTAACGATAATATGTTTCTTCTATATTTGTAATTAATTTAACTGTTGGACTTCCGGAGACTTGTTTATAGAAACGTTTTACCAAGAGCAAAGTGCCTGGGAACGAGGTTGATTGAATATAACGCTTACCGAGACCTTGATAATTTTGCATATCGCAAAAAATTAAAATATTAAAATACTATGTTTATTATTCTTCAAATGTATAATAAAACAATTATTGAATTCGGTTTTTGCGATATGCAAAATTATCAAGGTCTCGGTAAGCGGTATCAGCCTCGCCTTCGGCTCGGCTGATAACGCTTACCTCGACCTTGATAATTCCGCATATCACAAAAACCTCATCCAATAATTGTTAATTATAATTTGTAATAATTACAAATATACATCAATAGTACTCATCGATTGGCCTTATGCTAAAATTGACCAAAGTAAACACTTTTCTTTCAGTTAATAATTAAAATTAATACTACCACTTCGACTCAGTTTTACTTCCGCTTATTATTTGTTTACGTCTCGAAAACTTCAACCGTATTTAGCCTACAAGATGATTATCAGAAGTATTTTATCTTCCTCCAAAAGGTAAACTTAAAGTGAAGAGAACGGCAGTAAAACAACCGTGCAAAAATCAAAGAACAGACAATTAAAATGTCACAGTCTCGCGTTTCACAATTTACAGTTCATAGATATAGATTCCTCATGTATATAATTGGCTATATAAATCACTTGTTCTAAAAAAATATGCACAAACTTGCTCATTTATTATAAGTAATAGTCTCTAAATTCCTAACACATTTGCTAGAGTGTATATCTAATAATTGTTTGTGCTGCTAACTTGTAATTTTTGCCCTTTTAACATTGTATTATAGTTCGTGATGTCGGCGGCACGTTGCATTCAATAACTGTCAGGGTGCCTTGTGTCTTACGCGAAAATGTTGCGCAGTTTAATTTTCCCAAGGATTTTATTGCATAAGGAGTAAGAACAAAGGTTGCACTTTCGCCAGGTAAAAGTCTTAAGAAACAATGCCATGTACCAGTGGATGATATTTACGTTCAAACTTCATTAATTTTCTGTTGATTGAAAATTAACCTAAATTTAGATGTCTGTGAAACTTGAAAGATTATATGAAATTCCACCAAAATATCATTCGCTGGGGGGAAATTAATCCTATTTCCTGCTCACGTTTTCAAAATTTTACAACACGAAGTGTTTAAAAAATTTGGGCCCTCTATAGTACTCTAACTAAAATGGCCGACGCGACACGGAGAACGTGGAAGACCAAGAAATTTTCGTCAATCAGGAGGAATATTCATTCGATTGAGCTGAAACTTTGACAGAACTAATATTTCATCTTGATCGTTATTCTGTGAAATTTTGAGCTAATTCAATTTTCGCCGTATGAAACTCGATATTCGATATTTACAGGGAGCCGCTCTTAATACTTTCATTCAGTAAATTCGGAATTTGACAATAGCAATTAATGTGGAGTAATATACTAATATGGGCAACAAAATTGCAATTGAAATGTTTTGTCAGCATTTCTACTTTAAAATGCGTTGAAATCAGATTTTGTTGCAGCAATTTTGTTGCGCGTATTACTCCAGCTTTAACAACAATTAATGCAGGCTACCCACATGTACGCAGCGCGTACCTATTTTTTGGACAAATGACTTTCAGTATCTGAGAGGCATCATGGAACGGCCTGTGAATATCAGTTAAATCACCTTCGTCTGCCATTGCAGCAGACACCATCTTATCTTGAATGCCAGTCGCTCTGCAACTCCTCCCCTTCCACTCTTTCTGCACATGAATTATTGGTTTTGGCATTATTCTAATTATTCATTTTCCTCTTAGTTATTCTGGTTTTTTCGTTTTCCCTCATTAAGCATTTTGGTTTTTCCTAATTAATTATTTGATAGCAAGTGACTGGGGACGAGGCAGGAAAACAGACTTAGGTGCTCTTTGTATCAAATGCATTTAGAATTGTTTTTTGGGGGTAGAAGATTTTGGCATATTTATGTACCCCATACTCTATAGGCAATAACACATACATGCATCAATGAATCCTGTGACGTATTGTCATGTACTGAAGACAATCTTATGCTTTATAGGATTTTGATGCATGGTAGGTCTGGTGGCCATATAAGGTGCTGTATTGGAATAAAAGACAGCTGTGTGTCAGCGGTTGGTTTAACAGTGTATGTATGAGTATGTCAGTCATAGTTCACAGTATCCTAGAGTTCTGTTACTCGGTTGACATCAGTTCCCTCACAAACAATGTACACAATTCTCTGAAATATGGGAATGGAATGGTCTGACTTTCCAGTAAGAATTGTAATATTTGTCACCATTTACAACGCACCAAGGACAATTTCTAATGAAACAACAAGAGCAGGTGAACCTGGTCTGATCTCAATATCTTCCTCTACAAGATTTGCACATTAAATTGTAACAGAGAAACATCTTTGGCGCTCACCTAATGTTTCCAGAATATTTCTGTAATTGCAGACAATGCGGCCAAGATGTTTAAAAAACCTGTGTTTCACTTCAAACCGTGTTGTCCAGTAATTGGTTAGTGGGCCCAGCTGACATATTTGCTGTGGATAATGGCTAAAAAGTAATCATGATGATCTTTAATCAGTTGTTTGAGAAAGAAAGTTTCACCAACAGTAATCTCAGAAGATGAAGTACATATATTCAAGGAGGACAAAAATTAGTTCTAAATGCTCATTGTCCTCTGGAACAAGATCGCCAATTATTAGTACCTAATTAGACACCACATCTGTGATGCAGTTTGTACTGATGCACCATCTGGATTGTGGATCTTGTTGTGGCTGATTGGAGAAGGTTTGTCCTTTGAATCGGAAGGTGAGTAGTCGAAGCTCGTGATTCTGCTGTTTAGCAAGTCAAGATGGATAAACCCAGCCAGGATCAAGTCTCCAAGATCAAGATGCACTTCCAAACCACAAACTCCTTCCAATAAATCATGCATAATGTCTGGAACATAGTTAGTTCAGACATGAAAGTGCTCCACATTGTTGAGAAGATAAGGACCTTTAATCCCAGTTGACAGAGGATCATTTAGTTCTAAATCGTCACAGTAGTTGGCATAACTACGAGACAACTGGGTATGTTGTCGCATGGCGCATTTCATCAATGTGCATTTTACAGTTCCTACAGAAATTATGGCTTATAAAACTTTCTACAAAACCACAGATACCATTCATGCCCAAGTTATCCCCTGTAACTTGAGCAATTCCAACCTTAACTGTGCATTCGTAAACATCTGTATTTACTTGAAGTCCTTCTTTTCTAAATCTTTGATGTCATCAAGGAATGGTTGTAATATTGGATTAAATCCATAAGTTTTGACATCACCAGAATTGTAGACTGCGACCAAATAGCAGTTAGACAACAAGGAGTGGAACTTTGGTGGCAAGTTCAAGATTGTGCAATAAATGAGACCTATTTTATGTGCCCCTGCTTTTGAGCCAAGAGGATTTGCGATTTCACAATCATCTACATACAAAAGAAGGGCGATATTCTTATGATTTGAAAAGAATTCATGTCCTCGACAGAATTCTCCATCATGGAAATCTCGCATTACTTCATCACGACTATTCTACTACGGCACTCATGAATCCATTACTTTCCAAAATGTTCTGGGGGCAACTGTTTTAGCTGTATATATTGGAACATAACATACTTAGCTACATGCCCAGTATCTGGATTCTTTCACTGATCGTAAGCAACTGCAAATGGCACCTCGCGAGCTTCTACAAAATTCTTTCCCTTTTTACACCATTTCTGAATTCTTGAAAGGATGTTGAAATTCGCCTGAAGGTTTCAAGTAGATTTTGCCTTTCTGGGCCGTTCACGGGTATTCCTCTATTCTCTAAGGCCGCGGTCACACTAGCGCTTGGAGATTAGCATGGGATTAGCATGCTTGCATGAATACATTCCAAGCCCGCGCTAGAATGTATGCCAAGCATGTCGCAGTCACACTCATAAAAGCATTCCGTGCTTGTTCGGTGCTGTTGACAGATAGCTTATCTAAAATCTAATTAAAGACTATTACATAAATAAGCGGGAATTTTGAATTTTGTATAGAGTTTCAGTTTGAAGCATTTTATAATTTGGCAAGATGGAGAACGCTAATTCTTTGCTATTCCTTTATTTTCAATACCAAAGAATGCGCGCTTCCGCCAGACGTAGATCTTTGTCCAGAAGGAGGAGACGGTTGATTCTTACGTTGCAAATAATCAACCAAAACCAACGCTATTTTCAATACGTTCGAACAATAACATTTAGCAATAATGATTATTGTGAGAATTGTTGGTCAGATAAACCAGCGCCAATACTGGGAGCTTCCAAGACCACAACTGGGGTGGTTTGAAGTTATATTTGGAGACGATCGTCAATCAGCTTATTGGAAAGAAAGTTTTTATGCCATCGCTGCTCATTTTGACATTGGGAAGTCTATGTGTGTGACGATCACAAAGGAATTTTGCCAAGCCCTTAATAGATTATCGAGACAATATATTAAATTTCCCAGCAATTGTGACGAAACCACTCGAGCCTTAGCTTTATTTCAGGATGATTCCAGTTTCCCACATGCAGTTGGGATCAATAGATGGAACCCACATCGAAATCATTGCACCAAAAGAGCCTTTCGATTATTTCAATAGACAATATTTTTGGACACTGCAATCGGTTATCCTGGCAGCATGCACGATGTGTGAGTTTTAAGGTCCAAGGCACAGAATGGCGATATTTTGGTTGAACCATTTGCAACAATCAATGGACTACAAGTTTGGCCTATGCTGCTCGGGGATGGGGCATATCCATTGCTTCCTTGGTTGATGAAGCCCTAGCCTAACGGTGCTATTCTTGATTGTTCTCAACGCCTGTTTAACAAGATCCTTTCTTCCGCTGGAGCTATGGTTGAACGGGCGTTTGGAATTCTTAAGGCAAGGTGGAGAATACTGCTGAAAAGGCTGGACAACCGATTCGAAAATATTTCAGAAGTAATATTGTCATGCTGCATACTACATAACTATTGCCAAGATTCTGGCGAAGAGTTTGATGACGACAAGATTCTGCAAAGAATTATTTCTATTCACAGAGAATACGTAGAAGCTGAAGGCATTCGCTTGTCAATCGAACAGAGTTTGGCATAACTAGGAACCGAAGGCAATTTATTAAACAAAATACAAGAATATAGAGTACAATGAATATAATCGCAATACTTATAATTATTATTAAAATTAGCTTTGAATATAATCCATAAACAGTTAACAGTCTTGTATATCAATCAAATGTTTTAATAAAAATGTATCTTATAAAAAATGTTTGTTCCCTTACACTGTTAGTGTGCTCGCAGCCTGAAATTTAGAAATGGGAAAATATTGAAATGTTTTCCCTTCTAAATTTCAAGCTGTGAGTAGGCTATTACACTTTCTACTTTTTCATTATTTCCATCATTCTCAAGAAAAAATCCTGATCTCATCTGCACCCTTCTTCGTCCAGCTTTCGCTGATCTGCTTCAAGCTTGACCAGTAAATCTTCTGCATGTTTCTGTGCCTTCTCCATCATTTCCATCTGGGAGTTCTGCATTCCCACCAGCTTCTCTGTCAAATCGATCATCGCGGTTGTTACTCTGCCTTTCTTCGCTTTCTTTTTCTGCTCCTCTTTTCTTTTTTGGCTCCTCTTTTGCCTTTCTTCGCTTTCTTTTTCTGCTCCACTTTGTTTGTCGTTTCGCAGAACTTGGCGAACTTTCCGAATCCGATTCACCAGGCAGTAAACTGTCGTCAGATTCCTCCTCTGACTCGGAGTCATTCATTTGACCACTAGAAGAAGATTCTTCAGACAGTTTCCCACTCTGAAGAACCCCTAGCATCGTTACGATGGCCCGCATACCGAGAACTTCATCAAAAGAGTTGTAGTAGGGACTGGTTTGGTGTGGTCGTCCGGTCTTGTTGTTGGTCTTTGTGTTTTGTGTGCTAACTTTAAATTTCTGATTTTGTCCTTGCACTGCTTTGCAGTTCTTAGCGTTCCAACATTGCACACGGCTCGGACAATGTTGTGCCAAGTTTCCATTGCCAGCTCGTCGATTCTTTCTTTCCACTTGTTGACCAGTACGCTGGTTTGCGCCTCGCTCCACTTGTTTGACGTTTTGGCTCCATTATTTGGATTGCTGTTCGTGTTGTTTGCCGATGTGGATGGAGCACTGTTACTGCAACTGGAGTTTTCATGCGCAGCAATGTCCAAGCTTGTGGACACAGATAAAGCAATATTTGTGGATGCACTTGGGAAATGCGCACGTCGCAGTACGTAAGGGAAATACGGATAGTATTGAGCCTGTTGTTGTTGGTGCGTAAACATCCAGTTCGGATTTAGAGGCATCACACGAGCAACATTTTTGTCCACACGGAAGGGGTTTGAATGCATATATGCTGCAGCTTCATTTTGGTCATTGTGACCATCTTGCAAACCACCTGAACATTGCAACTGTGACATTTTTTCCTCAAATTTGTTGCGATCGATATTTCTCTGTTGGCGTGTTAAATATTGCAAAGGTTTTGAAAATAGCGCTTGTCGCGATCAAATAACATTCAACTTACCTGTCTATTTGCCTCTTGAAACTAAAAATTCTATTGGTTAAACCCTTTAATCCACTTGAGATTCGCATTCTAGCACATTTCAAACATACCCTGTATCATGCTTGAAGCGCGCTGCAGTGCCTTTGAATTTTCAAGCAAATCGTATCAAGTTTCACACTCTCTTGCGTTTTGCGTTTTGCACAGTCACACTAGCAAGCACGATTCTAACGCTAGTGTGACCGCGGCCTAAGAGATTCGTGGATTTGGTTTTCAAAGACATGACAATCTGCGAGAACAAATCTGAACTCTCGCGAACAACATCATCAATTGTTGACTGAACTATGCTACTTGGTGCTTTCATTTTAGCTATTGTTGGTGCTGCTTGTTCGGTTACTTCTTTATTCAAGATTCAAGACATGATTGACATGAAGAGGTTGCATACATCCTTGTCAAAACCATTGTGACTGTCATTTCCTCTGTCATATGCATTAATATTTTTATGCTGCTTCTCAATATGACATTTAAACACAACATAATAGCGAAATTCTGCAAACAACCATCTTGGCCACATACAGTTGGGCAGGTAAATTTACATCGTACGAGAATGATGTGTCGGGTTCTAATATGCTGCAGTAAGTTATTCACATTTCCATGCACGATTTTGTTGCATCTTGAACAGGTGTAGCCCATGTCTTTGATGCCCACACCGGGCATATTTTTCAAGCTCGCCCGGTGTGGATATGCACTCAGAGTAACATCACAAACATATTATTCACCTGAGTACACAACACCAGCACAGAAAAAATTAATCTGTTGTTGTTGCTGCTGCTGCTGCTCTCGTTGTTGGTTGCCGTTATCGTCGTGGTGGTTGTTGTTGTTGTTGTTGGTTGCCGTTATCGTCGTTGTTGTTGCTGCTGCTGCTGCTCTCGTTGTTGGTCGTCGTCGTCGTCGGTTGAGTCTGTCAGTAACTACAATGCCCTCTTGAAACTTCTTACCACTTCGCCCACACTTTCATTGGCTTGTTGCTGCCTGCTTTCTTTTCTTTCCAATGCCTTTGCCAGAATAAAAGTTACCAAAGTGGTCAGGTTATGAGGTGTGTTGTGACGTCTTAACCAATCTAGATATTTCCTAAAGTTTTGTACCTTCTCTGCTACAGCTACGGAATGTTTGCACAGTTTGGCAGACGACCATCCTGGGCAGTTTTCGCAAGTCACTTTCCCATTCTTTTCTGAATATACGTAGTGAGGCTGTTTGGAAGTGTTTTGCTTTCCACCATGAAGGCCATGCCGTTGCTTCCTGGTGCTGGAACAACAGCATTAGCGACATTTAGCTTCACGTTGTTCTGATTTACCGCGAACTGCAAACCGCAGTTTCCGGTTAGCCGTTTCAGGTTAGACGTATAAAAGGTTTAGCACATTTAGCAAGACGTCATTTTTTTACTTTCAAGATGGCGGCTATAACAAGGTTAGTGAATTAACAATAAACCCTTTCAAGAAGTATTGATAACAAGCAAAACTTTTAAAACAAAAAAAATATATATTTTTTAAACAAAACTTTTTTATTTCATCGCGATATTTTTGATTGATAACAAGCAAACCTTTTTTGGTAAAATAGATCTATTAATGTGCAGCAACATCTATTTTTTATCAGGAATGACTATAACGAAATTCTTACAGTCATGTTTAATGATAGTAGTGAATCAGATTCGAGCAGTAGCGATGAAAATGATCTTGATTTGGTACTGATTGATTACATGTTTCCAAATAAAAAGCCAAATGTTCCTTTGTTAAACTTGGAAGACCTTAGCGACTGGCAATGCGAAAAAATGTTTAGGCAAGTATTTCAACTATTTTTTTATGAACTTGTATTCTTGAAAAGAGAACCGACCCAGGGCCATGAGGATAGTTTTTAATAAGAATTATAAACAAATTAATTTTTCTTCATGCCAACTTAGATTTCATAAGGATGACATGCATCGCCTGCTTTCTGCCTTGAATATTCCCTCACACTATATTTGCAATCAACGCACTAAAGCATCTGGAGTAGAAGCTTTAATGATTTTACTTAGAAGGCTAGTTTATCCAAACAGATGGTGCGATTTAGTGGACGTTTTTGGAAGAAGTGAATCTCAATTGAGTTTAATTTCTAACAAGGTACTGTACACATGTCATATTAAAGTTTCAAGTAATGATACCGATTTTACTCATTAAACCAATAATAAAATGCATTCTTTTAGATTTTGGACGATCTTCATGATCGATTCCGCTATCTGTTAGATTCCTTAGACCTAATTTGGTTTGATCCCGAGCGCTTTTCTAATGCAATTCACAATAAAGGAGCACCTCTGACTCAGTGCTTTGGGTTTATTGATGGCACAGTTAGACCAATCGCTCGTCCTACCCGAAATCAGCAAATAATGTTTAGTGGACACAAAAGAACTCACTGCATTAAATTTCAGGTATTCGTCAATTAGAGATGATTATTAGATTTGTGCAAATGCGTCATTTGCTTTGATTTAGTGCATGTGGTCACTGAGACTTTATTAAGAAATAGGCTATTAGATGATAAAAAATCATACTAGTCGTTGTTCAAGCTAAAAATGCACTTTTGTCCTTATTATTCAGTCAGTCCATGCACCCAATGGTCTTATTTTGAACATGTTTGGACCCATAGAAGGACGAAGGCACGACGCTTTTATGCTTGGTGTGAGTGGTATAATGGACAAGTTGAGAAGGATTCAACAACCAAATGGAGAGCCTTACGTTATATATGGTGATCCAGCGTATGGTGTTACTGACAACATACTGGCTCCATTCCGTGGTGTCGATTTAACGGTGGCCCAAAAGGAGTTTAATAAACGTATGAGTAAAGTCCGTGTGAGTGTTGAATGGGGGTTTGGCAAAATTGCTCAGTATTTTGCCTTTTTGGACTTCAAGAAAAATCAGAAAATCTTACTTCAACCTATTGCAAAGTATTATTTGGTTGGAAGTCTTTTGATAAACTGTCACACCTGTTTATATGGATCACAAACTAGTTCATACTTTGATGTTCAGCCTCCATCCCTGGAAACCTATTTGTCAAATCACTTATAACTACTGTCTTCTTCAAACATTTGATGTAAACAGATTTTTCTTCAAATATTTATACTAAGTAAAGAAAACACAATCATGTTCTTCTAATGTATAACTCAAACTGATCAAAACAAAACATTAGGTGATAAACAACTATCCTAAAGTGTCACAAATACATTTTTTTAACATGTATAAACAAATAGCTTTCAGTTCCTGTTTTTTTTATTTTTGGAAGCTAACATTTCTTCTGTAGTAGAGCAATGTATGCCTTTCTTTCCTCCAATTCTAATTGAAGCTTTGCATGTCTTTCCTCGGCTTCGGCGATATATTTTTCTTTCTCAAA